TAGTTTTTGTAACTTTTCCCCTTTTTTCAGTTTTTGTTTTGTGTATAAAATTGATGTACGGGAAAGAGTTTTTTATATTTTGACTTTTCAATATTAAAACTTCCATGTAACAATTTACTTAAAAAGAGCTCAACAAACCCTGTTATCGGTCAGTGGACATGTCCAATGATCTGCATATCCTTATTAGTTGAAATTTTAATTTGTATCGATAACAATATTATCACTCTTAATAAATAAAACAAATGTATAATGAATCTTGATGCGAATTATTCTTTAACCTTTTTTTATACGGCTTTTATGTTAGTCATGGAAAAATATTTGATATAAATACTATTCTCAGTTAGTTACATATTGTATATTTTACGATAATAAATCTGGATAAAATTTGAGATACTTTAAAAACTGGTGAGATTGATAATAGTTTTCCTATTATATTAAATGAAGTCGGCTTTCAAGAATCAAAATTCTTAAATGTTCGGTTAATGTAGTAAAATTATTTATAAAATAAAACGAGAGAAACTTTATGCCTTTTAAATTGAACTTTATTCACTAGCGAACTCACGTGTACTGTATTACATATGTAAATATATTTATAAAAATCGTGAAGATACAAATATTCATCTAAATACAAAAAAAGACCAAACGTGAGTATAATATAAGATTTTGCCTTCGCTAACTTATTTATTAAATCTTTTAATATCATAGTCAGTGTTGGAAATTCAAATGTTCTCATGAGAACATTTTTTAAAAATTAATGTTCTCAAATTTTCAAAAAATGTTTTCATTTATATTGAGCTTACTCAAACTAATGTTCTCATGGATAATTAATATAAGAGAACATTTTTTTTAAAGAGAATATTCTCAAATTAGGTATGATGTTCTATGAGAACATGAGAACATTGAATTTCCAATACTGATCACAGTTCACAAGTTTATCGATAAGTTCATTATATTGAATTATTACTTTAGTTTTGTATCTTCAATTATCCTAACATAGCAATTTTAACATCATATTCTAATTCAATATTAAACAATTTATTGGAATTTAATTCCTTCAAATAAGTGCTGTAAAGTGAAAACTTGGAAATGAATCCTTAAAATTATCACTGTAACAGACTTAGTCTCATTGTATATTATAAGACTAAGTCTGCTACAGTGATAAAGATCCACTTCCAGGCTTTCACTTTGTAGCACTCAAATGTCTTAAATATTCTTTTATGACTGCAATATTAAATTATACAATCTCACATTTCTTTATTACTAAACTTCTTATTCTTACAATGCCATATCAAATTTACTATTTAATATGTTTGCATTAGGGAGTAGTTTAATAATTTTGAATTGAACTTTACCAATGTATGTATTGATTTATGAATCGCTTAAATATTTGCCATTCTTTATTGATTAATAAACTTAGATTATCAAAGTCATTATATTTAATACTGTGATTTCTTTTTTTCCTTTTTTTTGAGTATAATAGTTTAGCAAATAAAGACAACATAATTTTCTTTAAAGTATAATGCAATGAACTTAAGGTTCCTCTGAATTCTTACCTATTATTTGACAAAGTGATATGCACATATAACTGACAACTTTTATGGATCAGGAAATGGTCTTAGACCAGTGGATGTTATTAATGTTTAAATAGTGACAATTGTTGTGTTATTATATTGCAGCTAACTTGATTGTGAGCTATCTTATTTAGTTCAGGGTACTACTCAAAATAATTGCATAGTAAATAACATTAATCCTCGAAAGGGATTTATTCATTTATCCGTGGTTAATTGAAACAAATTTAAATGGAATCAATTGGATAGTAAATTTGCTTTCTTATGTTATTGATTACATACCTATTAATTCAAATTTCCTACTTTCTTTTTTTTTAATGCTAGACTTTAAATGGTAGATATGCAATGATATATCTAACACAGCAAATCAGTATACTGTTCAACCAAATTAATTATGAAAGCAGGAATATATACCTTATTATTAGATCAAATCAGGTAACAACCTAAAAATTATTTTATGGAAATGTTCGTTTAGAATACGATATTTATTCTTTGTATTGTTCATAACACCAATACAGCAAAAAGCTCTAGTCCTGCCTAAATCAATGTTACTTATTTATTATAACTATATCCAAATTGCTAGTGTAACAACATCTGCTATCATACAAATTATCACGCTAGTTAATGTTACTATGGTTAACACTATCGCACCACCTAAGATTACCACAAAATCATTTTATATCATTAAATTACTTTTCTTTCTGGATCTATGATAATATTGAATCCCAATATTAAACATTTTTTTTAACTACTTGCAAATGTTAGAGTATTGCCTCTTAGACTTTCAAATAATTATCCTGGATTTCTTGATGATTAAGAAGATTTTAATATAATTATTAATATTAGTGAATCTACATATACTAAGATATTCCGGGCACATTCGGCAATTTTAAGATACAGATCTTTATATTTCGTAATGATGAATATAAACACAATTTTGAAATAACGATAAGGTATAGCGATGACTTACCTATTGTATGGGACATTCAGTTACATACTCTTGTATTTCAGGATAATCTAGAGATGAATTGTTTTGATGTACTTTGCTGTCCTGAGATTTTTGAGGTTTCGTTGAATTTTTTTTCATTTTCTTGCTTGATACATTTTCTTTCTGCTTATGAGTGGGACATATTACAACATTATGAGCTCTTCGTCCAACTGTTGTTTTTGTCTCCGACTTCTCAATATCTTGTTGGTATATATCGTAGATTCTATTTTGACCTATCTTATAACATGTAAATAATTTATTAAATCCGTCTTCATAACTTTGACTAGTATTTTTAAAAAGTTCATGTTCAGTTAGATCTGGGGCTAAAAAAGCATCTAAAAGAGAATCTGAAAGTTTTCATAGTGCTGGCTTTCATGATTGCAAAATACGATCACTGGTAGTAAATGATTTTTTACCTACATATTCATCTAAAAGTATGGTCAAACACTCTCTTTCTGACTGAACTGAAGCAATTTGTAATTTTAATTCATCATCAGTTTTTAGTACTTTCCCAATATTTTGCTTTACATACATTACGCCAAATCTCTCTAACGCCTCATCGAAGGCAAAATAATGCCCAGGTCTAGTTATATTAACTGATGATGCCTTATCTAATAAAATACTTAATGATCTATCTTGGTATAAATAACTAAGAAAAAAGGTAACTGATTGAGCATAGTTACTGTGACTCGTGACTGGGAAAAGAGGAACGAATGCTTTCAAATTTTTAATTTGCATATTCCAATTACCATGTCTAATACCCATCTTATGTCCCACCCAATATCCCGCCTAACAAAAAAATAGGTACCAGACTTTTAATACATTATTATTACCTGACATAATATCTGATATAGTTTGATTATAGTTTTTAGTATATTTTTGAAGAGCAATTCCTACCCCTGCCCACAACAATATTACTACTCGTGATGTAGCCTAGTAATCTACTACTTTCTCGAATTTGTCAAAATAACATACACCAAGAATTGATGCTAAATTAAAAATCTCATATCCCGAAAATATTGAAATAAGTATTATACACATGTTTTTACTAGTATGCCACTTGCCTAATAAAAAACAAAATTCTGGATTTGTTTCTTTTAAAGAGACTAAGCGTCTATAAATTGCTTCATCAGTGGCCAAATAAATTTTTTCATTAAAATTAATACTAATATCGTCTATATACATACGCGTGGCATTGTGTACATCTTCAGTTTTGTTTGGATTATCACCAGGTTTTAAAATTACAATATTTGGTATAGGAAGGTAACAATCTGATTTTATTCTACTTTCATATTCTCGTATAATATCCTGTATATCGAAGTTTGAACCACATTTATTAATCAAGTTACTAAATATATTAGTGCAATGCAGTAATTCATTTTCTACGAATAAAGAAGTTCCAATCCTAAAATTTGAGTCAATATCAATGTCGAAGATATTTTCCGAAATTACCTCTAATAAAGATTTTGGAAATTTGAATTGAATTATTATTCGTATGATACAATGCATAGTTTTTCTTGTAGCATCAAATATATTATCATATGTAAAGGTTTTTTCTTTTAGATCAACATTGTCTATAATACACATATTTAATATATTTTCTCCCTTCCATAATTTCTGACAAGGATCTATATCCTTTTGTCTTATCTTTTCCAACTGTCTTTCATGTCTAGAAGTATGTAACACCACGTTCGCTGTACATAAAACAGCATATAGCGATGATTAATAATGTAGTTTTTGGCATAACGAACTTAAGATATGCGTTAGCCATATGTTTACACTTAGGAATGTAACAGTTAATAAAACTGAAATTAAAAATAGTGAGATCTTTTCTCCTCTTATTGAATCGTATTCAGTTACTGCAACTCCACGTTGTTGTTGTTTTTTATGTACAATAATTCATTTTTGATATTGTATATAATCAAGCATACTATCAAAAAAATATTTTATAGTTGATGGAAAACCATGTTTATATTCTTGAAGCGACAGTAGATTTTCTAAATAATGAATATTTTCTTTTATTTCCCGTTTTGACTTCCATAATAAACGTTCAAATACCCTACCGAACTATTCAGGTTGTTTTTCAATCATTGCGCTAATTTGTTCTTGATTATTAAGTTTATTTAGATTTACATTTTGAAGATGTAATACTATTTTTATAAGCACCTCACTTGGAGGTTCAACTTTTTCTTGCTCAATTTCGTAATCCACCTGATTAGATGAATTGGGTTTAAATGTATTATAAAGTACCTTCGTTATTTCATTTAATAATTTATCTTTTGTATCTTTATTAGCTGTATTTGCTACATTTATTAACTATTTTCCTATTAATTCTAAAGATCTTGAATTGTCTTCGACATGGGCATGTTCATCAATACACGATTTTGGTTAATTGTTTTTCCCTCTTCCTCGATGTTGATAAAAATATCTACCTTCTCGTATAAAATATTCAGAACAAATAAAACGACAATGTGTATTGTTTGTAGCCTTTTTAGATAAGAGTTTACTACTAAATACAGAGCAGCTTTTTAGACCCATACATGGTAAGCGAATGTTTCTCTCAAGTGCAGTGCATAAATACTTTTCACATCTCCTACCTCTACTAAAAAAATATTTAATAATATTACAAAAAAGACACTGACATTTGTGAATTAATGACTTTTTAATTAGTGTATTTTTACTTGTACCGCGTTCATATAAGCCATCTTGGTCAAAATTAAAATGTGAGCTACATACACTAAGAGTTTCTAACATTTTTATTTGGTTTTGCTTAAACATAGGATCAACAGTTTGAAAATCCAATTCCCAAACACCTGATAATTGCTTTAGTGGCCTAAATCTTGGATTTAAACATCGTTGTATCTTTCCATCTTTAATGTCTAATACATTGCATTGTTTACAAGGCTCACTTGTTTCTTCATAATCATTAATTTCTATGTCTAGTTCTTTTTCGTTGTCAAAATCTACTATGGACCCAACTTCTGATATAATATCAGTCTCAGAATCAAGCCAATTTATATTAATTTCTTCAAGATTATTATCATTAGTTGGTTGTGAATCAGTATAAGCTTTAATAAAATTCATCATTGCTTTGGTAAAAGTAAAGTTCTCATTATTTTCAACTAAATTGCTAGACTTAGTCGTATTCGTAGTAGTTGAATTACAAGAAACTTCAGAGTGACTATCATCTAAAAGTGCATATTTGTAATCCGGATCATTATATGTATCATTTTTCCCTTCCAAAAACCTTGAAAACTCTTTATTCTCTGCAATAAATGAATTCATCGCTGAACACAGATCAAATTATTTATTATTACTATTTTTTTTTTATTGTTTTTTTTTCTTATTGTTTTTTTTTCTTATTGTTTTAATTAATTATTTTTTATAACTTTAGATGGCAAGAACTTAATACATATGTATATACTGTATTGTAGATAATTGTCTGTTTAAAATACTTGACACTTCTTACTGACCATTCATAAAAACTATATCATTCGCTTGGTTATTTTAAGTAGAGTAAATTGTTCAGATAATATTGGTATTAAGAAACAAATTCTTTATACCTTATAAAAAAGTTTTATATCGCTATTAACAATATATCACTAATGATATTCTGGCGTAAAATGCATGCAATAAAACATCAGATACGTACGTACGTACTGTACATGCATTCATTAGATATCAAACATAACTATAAGTTTTTATTCAGTTTAACGTTAATTATTCATTATTATTGTATGGTGTGAACAACTTAAAGACGTTCATCCACTTATATATATCCTTTTTTTTTCTCTCATCATTATTAGCATTTTTAGCATTGACAAAAAAATGGTATAAAATTTGACTCAAATTGAATAATTTACATTTATCGTTATCGTTATGACTGATATTCATGATGACGATTGCATCATGATCACCTGATTTTACATTACTGGGGTTCACGTACTCAAAGTTCATGCGAAGATGGATTAAAATCCAAAGCTCAAAACATTATATAATGTTTAATATAACAATATTAA